CTCCCCCCTGCTGAGGCTGCTCCTCAATGTTGCTGCTGCTTGTGCTGCTGCTGCCCGTTTTGATGCTTCAGCTGCCCCTCCCCCCCCTCCTCCTGCCCCCCCCGCATGTCCGTCGCATTTGCAGGCTCGAGCCGGGAAGACGCGCTTGCGGCGCCTTTGCCATGATGAGTCACCGCGGCGGCCAGCAGCAGAACGCTGCCTCTGGCGCGTTGGACCGAGTGGTGTCGGTAGCCGAGTCCAGGAGGACCTGGCGAGTTGGACATCCCATCCGAGCTGTTGGCGGGGTCACTTTCACGCAGGCTCCTCGGCCAGGGCCGAGCGGCCAGAGTCCGTGGTTCGCGTGCACCAGTATCGACAATGACAGGGTTGTCCAAGAGTGGTGGCTTCCGCCGTTCCTCGTGCCCACTGCAGAGGTGGTCCGAGTGGCTGGTCGCCTCAGTGGCAAAGCGGTGGTGTTGCCCCAGTACTGCGCTGCCTCTGGCGCGGCTGGGGGGGCCGTTGACGCCGCACATGCACTACGCGAACACCCGCAGGATCTGGGCTTTGGCCGCCACCCACCCCATGGTCATTACGTCGGGGAAATACAAAGCAGAGAAAGAACGCGACCCATCTGAGTTTGATCAGTTCGGTCGCGCGGTCAAATACCACCAGAGCCCATTTGACCTGATCCTGTCGGTGTCGGCTCGTGTGGAGATGCTCATCGGGTGCTCCGTGAACGATGCCGCCAAAAAGGTGACTGAACACACTTCTGGGCTGCTCGGTTTGTGGTGGGGACCTGCTCATAAAAGGAAGCTCTAGAGGGAGCAAGAGGACGTGGCGCGGTCAGTCTTTTTCGACTTGGTCGAAGCCGCCCACCGCGTGCCCGACGTATGCGCCGTGGAGTATAATGCTCTTTCTGGCGTCTTCGCTGCCTCTGGCGCGCCCGCTGCCTCCGGCGCGGCCGCTGCCTCTGGCGCGTCCGCCGCTCCTGCTGCTGCAGCTGCTGCGGTTGCTGTTCCTGCGCCAGCTCCTGCGCCAGCTTCTGCGCCAGCTCCCGCGCCGCGACCGCCGCCTCCGCCTGCGAAAGTTCCTGCGCCAGCCAGCGTGAGCGGCGGCGGCCGCGCCGCTACTCCACTGCCACCAGGGCCAGTCACGCCGCGGCCTGCGCCGCCGGAGTGGCGGCCGCAGGCGGCGCCAAAGAATAATGCGAAGGAGGCGCCGCTTCTTCCGCTGCACGTGGAGGCGGCGACGCCGCCTGCCACGCTTTCAAAGAACAACGCCGCTGCCTCTGGCGCGCGGGAAAAAAAAAGCCACCCGCTTTTTTGGTTGCGCATGCATTGGTGAGGGCCAGCTCGCCGCCGCCGCCGCCGGCCGCCAGCTGGCCAGCAGATTCGGCGGCGACGACGCGGGTTCAGTGGCGGCCGCCGCCGCCGCGTCATCCTCCCCGAGACGTGCCGGGGCCGACGCCGCCGGGGCAGCTTCCCCTGACTCCCGCGCCTGCTCCTGCCGCCGAGCCGCTCCTGCCTGCCTCTGGCGGCTGCGCGATCGCGGCGCCTCCGCCTGCCTTGGCGCCTCCTCCAGCCCCTGACCTGGGCAGCTCGTCTTCCGACGAGGGCGTCGACGGCGACGCAGGCGAGGAGACCGTCGCGACGAAGCGACGGGGGAGACAATTCGAGCCCCCCGAAGAGCGGCGGGGCAGGATGCGTTCCAGAAGCATGCAGAGACCGACCGAGCAAGATGTTGCTTCCTGTAGCTCATCAGAGGACGAGCGGGGGGATGCTGTCTCTGGCGCACCCGAGTATGCTGTCTCTGGCGCAACAGAGGAAGTGAGCCTGACGACTCGTCTCTCTGAGAGGAAGCTCAGACGATTGCCCGACGAACGCGAGGCCGAGCTTCGCAGCGTCGCCCGAAAGTGTGCCAGGCAGCAGCACTTCGTCGACAACAAAGAGCGTTGGGCTAGCGACGCCCAAGCTCTTGTCCGAGATTGGCAAATGCCGCAGCTCGAGGACAGAAGCGCCCCGCGCATGCAGAGCCAGCTCGACGTGTGGTGCGACCCGCCCCCTACATTTGAGGGAGCTTCTGGAAGGCATCCCCCACCGAAACGACAACCCAGATGACGCAGGGCAGCTGTGGCCCGTCGTGCGCGCTTGCCTCCAAGAAGCAACGCTACAAGCGGCAGCTGTCGAAGGAGCTGTGGGGCCCTGACGCTGTCTCTGACGCGCCCTTCGCCGAGGCGCACCCGAATGCCGTGCTCGGCGACGGGCGGGCGGCGCTGGCGCCAGACGCCTTCGAGGCATCGAAGCGCAACGCAGGGGTTCAGGACGACGAGACCTACGTCAAGCACATCCTCGAAAAGCACAGCGGCGAGGCGCGGCGCTGGGGGGGGCCCGGGTGGAGGGATGCGCCTTCTGAACTCGTGGACACTCTCTGCCGCGTCAGGTTCTGGCACCACCAGTGCGCCCGGAGCGAAGAGGCGCGTGATTACCTGGCCTGGAAGAACGCTGACAGGGATGCGGACTTCCTGGAACTGGCGGAGATGAAGTGGATCCTGGCTCTAGATGGTGGCGAGACCGCGCTTCTGAGTTGTGTCGAAGACGACTCTGCCTCTGGCGAGACGTGGTTCATCAGGACTGGGCAACTTGTGACTCTGGCGGAGATGTTCAGCTACGGGCGCCGCCTTTGCTCGTGCCACTTCCTGTGCACGTTGCACCTCCGACAACCGATATTCGCGACGAGGAAGGGGCGCAGCGAGTCGCGCACGGGGGAGGCTACTCTCAAGAAGAATGCTCGGCGCCTGCGCCAGCTGGAGACAGGGCGCCACGGCCTGCCCTGGCGCCGAAGGTGAGGGCGTGGCACTGCTGAGTAGCTGCCTCTGGCGCTTCTTTCCTTGCAGGACCCTCTGAAGAGCTGCCTCTGGCGCGTGCGGACTCTTGTGCGCAGCGCGTCGCTGCTTTCGCGGCTGCCCGTCGGCCTGCGCACGAGCGACATCGTCGTTATCGCCGACGTCGTCCTCAGTGTCGCCATCGGCCCCCGCGTCCTTGTGCCCTCTGTGCGTGGATCTCTCTGTGTCCTTGTCGTTGTCCTGTTTTCTTTTCTCTTCATATTCTTAGAAACCAAAGGATCAGAAAGACCCGACCAGGGGAAAACTAGAGCTAGCAGGGAAAAAGTGGACCCGACCAGGGAAAAACTAGACCCGACCACCGGGATTTTTTTGGGGAAACGTAGACCCGACCACGGAAAAAGTAGACCCGGCCAGAGAAAAACGAGACCCGACGAAAAGAAAAACTAGACCCGACCAGTGGAACAGTAGACCCGACTAGGGGAAAACTCGACCCGACCAGAGAAAAACTAGACCGGGTCAAAGGAAACACCAGATCCGACCAGAGGAAAACTAGACGCGACCAAGGAAAAACTAGACCCGACCGGAGGAAAACCTAGACCCGACCAGGGGGAAAATAGACCCGAACATGGAACAACTAGACCCGACCAGGGAACAACTAGACCTGACCACAGGGAAAATTAACACCGACCAAGGACAACCAGACCCGACCAGGGAAAAACTAGACCCGAGCAGAAGAAAACTAGACCCGACCAAAGAAAAAGTTACACCCGACCAGGGGAAAAGTAGACCCGACCAGGGAAATACCAGACCCGACCAGAGAAAACTAGACCGAACCAAAAGAAAAAAAACAGATCCGACCAGGGGAATATTAGACCCGACCAAAGGAAAACTAGACCCGACCAGGGGAAAACTACACCCGATCGAAGATAAATAACAGCAGACCAGGGGAAAACTATGCCCGACCATGGAAAAACTACACCCGACCATGTTTAAACTTGGCCCGACCACAGGGAAACCTAGACCCGACCAGAGGAAAACCAGACCCGACCAGGGAAAATACTGCATCAGACCAGGGAAAAACGAGACCCGACCAGGGAAAAAGTAAACCCGACCAAGGCAAAACTAAATCCGAGCAAGGAAAAACCAAACCGGATTAAAAGAAAAACTAAACCCGATCAGGGGAAAACTAGATCCGACCAGAGGAAAACTAGACCAGACAAGGGGAAACAAAGACCCGACCAAAGGAAAAACTAGACCCGACCAGGCGACAATTAGGCCCGACCAAAAATTAGAGCCGACCAGGGAAAAACTAGACCCGACCATGGGAAAAAGTAGACCCGACCAGGGGAAAACTATACCAGACCAGGGAACATTTAAACCCGAGCAGAGAAAAACCAGACCCGACCACAGGACGAATTAGAGCCGACCAGGGGAGAACTAGACCCGACCAGGGAAAAGCAAGATCGACCAGAGAAAAACTATACCGAACCAAAGAAAAAACCAGACCCGACCAGGGGAAAAGTAAACCAGACCAGAGGAAAACTAGACCAGACTAGGGAAAACTAGATCCGACCAAAGGAAATTCTAGACCCGACCAGGGAAAACTATACCCGACCAAGGAGAAAGTAGACCCGACGAGGGAAAAAGTACACTCGACCAAAGGGATCAACAAACCCGACCAGGGGAAAACTAGACCCGACAAGGGAAAGTATATCCGACTAGTGGAAAAACTTGGCCCGACCACAGGAAAAAAACTAGACCCGACCAGGGGGGAAATAGACCCGACCAGGGAAAAAACTACACCAGACCAGAGACAAGTAGACCGGACCAAAGGAAAAACTATACCCCACCAGGGGAAAACCAGACCCGACCAGAGGAAAATCAGACCCGACCATGGAAAAACCAGATCCGACCAAAGGAAAAACTAAGCCCGACCAGGGGAAAACTAGACCCGACTTGGGAAAAACCAGACCCGACCAGGGAAACACTAGACCCGACCACAGGGAAAACTAGACCCGACCAGGGAAAACTATACCCGACCAGGGAAGAACTAGACCCGACCAGAGAAGAACTAGACCCGACCCGTAGCCACGATTGGCTCGCACGTTCAGTTGCGACTCAGCCTTTTCTTGCTTTCACTAGCGGCGGCGCCGCAGTCCTTGCTTTCGCCAGCGCAAGGATGCCGCCCTTCCACGCTGGCTGGGAGGCCATCCACGCGGTGTCCATGGAGGTCGACGGCGCCAAGGTTTCGGTCGACGTCAGTGCCGACATGATGATGCCGCTGCGGGTGAAGTACAACGAGCCAGACAACGTCGTCGTGCCCATCATGGCTTACAAGATCCGCCATCTGCCGTTGGGGCCGAAGGCTGTGGCGCTGCTCAAGCTGCTCCACAGCTATCCGAAGCTCGCCGCCGCGGTCGTCATCCACGATCGCAATCGCATGAAGGTGGTTAAGAAGAAGACCGACAGCGAGAGGCTCAGGGCCAGGGCCGCTTCCAAGGCAAAGGCGGAGGAGGCGAAGGCCCTTTAGGACCAAGGTGAAGAGTCCATCTAGTGGTGGCGCCGCCTACGTGGGAAAAACTAGACCCGACCAAAGGAAAACTGGACCCGACCAGGGGAAAATTAGACCCGACCAGGGAAAAAGTAGACCCGACCAGGGGAAAAACCAGGCCCGACCACAGGAAAAAACTAGACCCGACCAGGGAAGAAATAAACCCGACCAGGGAAAAACTAGACCGGACCAGAGACAAAGTAGACCGGACCAAAGGAAAAACTAGACCCGACCAGGGGAAAACCATACCCGACCAGAGGAAAATTATACCCGTCCTGGGAAAAACTAGATCCGACCAGTAGACCCGACCAGGGGAAAACTAGACCCGACCTGGGAAAAACCAGACCCGACCAGGGAAACACTAGACCCGACCACGGGGAAAACTAGACCCGACTAGGGGAAAATTAGATCCGACCAGGGAAGAACCAGACCCGACCAGAGAAGAACTAGACCCGACCCGTAGCCACGATTGGCTCGATGGTTCAGTTGGCGAGTCAGCCTTTGCTTTCACTAGCGGCGGCGCCGCAGTCCTTGCTTTCACCAGCGCAAGGATGCCGCCCTTCCACGCTGGCTGGGAGGCCATCGACGCGGTGTCCATGGTGCTCCACCTCCGCGCAAAACAGCTGCAGCCTTCCCGCCTTCCCGAGAGTGGGCGCGAGCGCGCAGCACGTGTTCCAGGCGCATTGGCTTGCCCTTCGCCATGGATGCGTGGCTCCGCCGCGGCACCGCTCTCTCTGGCGTCTCCGCTGCCTCTGGCGCGTCCGCTGCCTATGGCGCGTCCGCTGCTTCTGACGCCGACGACGCTGACGCCGACGACGTGCGTTTCAGCCTCACCTACGCCGCGCACGGTATGTCGCGCATTGTATACAACACAACGGACCAGCAGCGCGTCGTCAAGCTAGCCGAGCGCGCAGAGCAGGTGCGGTCGAGTGAACGCGAGGCCGAGATGTCGGTGGTCCTGCGGGAACTGGCGCCGGCCGTCCTCCACTGCGACGCCGCTGCGCTCCGCGGGCCCAGCGGCGGCGTCAGGCACTTGCACTTCCTCATGGTCAACAGGGTCATGCCGTTGGATGGGCACGTGGTTGCTGCGCGACGACAGCCAGGGCAAGCGGCGCGTCTTCCTCCTGGCGGTGCGGACCTTCGCCCAGGCTGCTGGGCGTTGTATCTACATTTCCGACCTGAAGCTGGACAACTTGGGCTGGGATTCCGAAGGAGAGCGCGTTCTCTTCCTGGACGCGGGCACCTTCCGCCCGACGGAAACGCGGAAATTTCCGAGAAAGAGGCAGCTACAGAGCTTCTTGGACGCAGCCGAGACTTGTCTTGACTGCCAGACGCTGATGGAGCTCCACGACCTGCTGTCGCACGGGGGGGACCCTGACATTGTGGCACGTCGGGTTGCCGATGCGCTGAGCCGCGGCTTTCGGCTCGGCTCGGCGCCCGCCCACCTGAACCCGTGGGCGCCGCCCTCGCTCCCCGCGGCGGACGAGGACCTGCGCGATGAGGCTGTGTCTGAACACACTTCTGAGCTACTCGGTTTGTGGTGGAGACCTGCTGCTAGAAAGAAGCTCTCGAGGGAGCAAGAGGATGTGGCGCGGTCCGTCTTTGTCGACTCGGTCGAAGCCGCCCACCGCGTGCCCGGAATGTACACCGCGGAGTGTAACGCTCTCTCTGGCGTCTCCGCAGCCTCTGGCGCGTCCGCTGCCTCTGGCGCGTCCGCCGCTCCTGCTGCTGCAGCTGCTGCGGTCGCTGCTCCTGCGCCAGCTCCTGCGCCAGCTCCTGAGCCACTCCCGCCGCCTGCTCCTGCGCCAGCTCCTGCGCCAGCCAGCGCGAGCGGCGGCGGCCGCGCCGCCACTCCACCACGACCAGTCATGCCGCGGCCTGCGCCGCTGGAGTGGCGGCCGCAGGCGGCGCCAAATGATAATGCGAAGGAGGCGCCGCTTCTTCCGCTGCATGAGAAGGCGGCGCCGCCGCCTGGCACGACTGCAAAGAAGAACAGCACCGCTGCCTCTGGCGCGCGTGGAGAAAAGCCATCCGCTGTTTTGGTTACGCACGCATGGGTGCGGGCCAGCTCGCCGCCGCCGCCGCCGGCCGCCAGCTGGCCAGCAGATTCGGCGACGACGCGGGCTCAGTTGCGGCCGCCGCCGCCGCGCCACCCCCCCCGAGACGTGCCGGAGCCGACGCCGCCAGGGCAGCTTCCCCTGACTCCCGCGCCTGCTCCTGCCGCCGAGCCGCTCCTGCCTGCCTCTGGCGGCTGCGATCGCGGCGTCTCCGCCTACCTTGGCCAGTGCGATCGCGGCGCCTCCACCCGCTGCAACAGGGAGCGCGCGTCCGCCTCCTCCAGCTCCTGACCTGGGCAGCTCGTCTTCCGACGAGGGCGTGGACGGCGACGCAAGCGAGGAGACCGTCGCGACGATGCGACGGGGGAGACAACTCGAGCCCCCCGAAGAGCGGCGGGGCAGGATGCGTTCCAGAAGCATGCAGAGACCGACCGAGCAGGACGTTGCTTCCTGTAGCTCATCAGAGGACGAGCGGGAGGATGCTGTCTCTGGTGCACCCGAGTATGCTGTCTCTGGCGCGACAGAGGAAGTGAGCCTGACGACTCGTCTCTCTCAGAGGAAGCGCAGACGATTGCCCGACGAACGCAAGGCCGAGCTTCGCAGCGTCGCCCGAACGTGTGCCAGGCAGCAGTACTTCGTCGACAACAAGCAGCGTTGGGAAGCCGACGCCCAAGCTCTTGTCCGAGATTAGCAAGTGCCGCAGCTCGAGGACAGAAACGCCCGGCGCATGCAGAGCAAGCTCGACGTGTGGTGCGACCCGCTCCCTACTTTGAGGGAGTTTCTCGAAGGCATCCCCCACCGAAGCGACAGCCCAGATAACGCAGGGCAGCTGTGGCCCGTCGTGCGCGCGCTTGCCTCCAAGAAGCAACACTACAAGCGGCGGCTGTGGGAGGAGCTGCGGGGCCCTGACGCTGTCTCTGACGCGCCCTTCGCCGAGGCATACCCGAATGCCGTGCTCGGCGACGGGTGGTCGGCGCTGAGGCCAGACGCCTTCGAGGCATCGAAGCGCAAGACAGGGATTCAGGACGACGAGACCTACGTCAAGCACATCCTCGAAAAGCACAGCGGCGAGGCGCGGCACTGGGGGGGGCCCGGGTGGAGGGATGTGCCTTCTGAACTCGTGAACACTCTCTGCCGCGTCAGGTTCTGGCATCACCAGTACGCCAAGAGCGAAAAGGCGCGTGAGTACCTGGCCTCGAAGAGCGCTGACAGGGATACGGACTTCCTGGAACTGGCGGAGATGAAGTGGATCCTGGATCTAGATGGTGGCGAGACCGCGCTTCTGAAGTGTGTCGAAGACGACCATGCCTCTGGCGAGACGTGGTCCATCAGGACTGGACAACTTGTGACTCTGGCGGAGATGCTCAGCTATGGGCGCCGCCTTTGCTCGTGCCACTTCCCGCGCACGTTGCGCCTCCGACGACCGATATTCGCGACGAGGAAGGGGCGCAGCGAGTCGCGCACGGCGGAGGCTACTCTCAAGCAGAATGCCCGGCGCCTGCGCCAGCTGGAGACAGGGCGCCATGGCCTGCCCCGGCGCCGAAGGTGAGGGCGTGGCACTGCTGAGTAGCTGCATCTGGCGCTTCTTTCCTTGCAGAACCCTCTGAAGAGCTGCCTCTGGCGCTTGCGGACTTTTGCGCGCAGCGCGTCGCTGCTTTCGCGGCTGCCCGTCGGCCGCGCTTTCGCATGCGAGCGCGCTTGCCTGCGCGCGGGCAAGGGCGGCGGTGAGTTCGATCCGTCGCGGATTTTCCGCGACAAGTTGTGGTGGCGCGACGAGCGCGCGTTCGAAACGTTCTACAAGCTGTTGGCGCCTGCGGGGCTGCAGGATTTCCTCGACAGAACTCCGACGAATTCGCCTGGCGCGAGAAGGCCGACAACAAAGGCATGCTCGTCGGGCGCGGCAGGAGGAGCGCGCCCCGCCATGGGCGCGCCCCGCCATGGGCGAAGTGGGCGCAGGCACTGCCTCTGGCGCGCCCCGCCGTGGCGAGCGCGCCCCAACACGGAGCGGCCTCAGGAAGCGGCCTGAAGCGGCCGAAGGATGCCCGCCAACTGACCGCCCTCAGGAAGCGGCCCCAGGAAGCGGCCAGCATGCACTGCCTCTGGCGTGCCCCGACAACGCACCGCCCTCAGGAAGCGGGCGGAATAAGAGCAACCCTTGGGAAGACCTTCGCTAGGAGATGGTTGCCCGAAACACTGCCTCTGGCGTGGCCGAGTCACTGCCTCTGGCGTGCCCGTGACGCTGCCTCTGGCGCGCCTTCTGAGGCCAAGGCGGCGTCGCCGCAGCTGGCGCCGCGACACTTGCGAGCGGAAAAACTAGTCGTCGTCATCACCACCATCGTAGTCGCCATCATGACCACCGACATCATGAGCGCAAACAGCGACACCATGACCGCCGACATCATGACCATCGTCGTCATGACCACCGTCATCATGACCACCGACATCATGACCATCGTCATCATGACCACCGACATCAATGGCATCATCATCGCCACCGTCATCATCATGATCCTCATGATCATCATCATCCTCGTCATCATCATGATCACCATCATCATCATCATTACCATCATCACGCCCAGTTCGCATCATATTAGCGCTGCGGGTCCTTAATATGATGTTCGACCCCTTGGTGGACCAGTCAGCAGGGCATCGCGATGAATTGTTGCCATGCCTCGAGGTCATCCGTCAGCGAGTTCAGGAAATCGAAGAACCAGCTGCGGGTGCGAGCTGGCCGCCTCCAGTGGGCGGTACACCAACGGCGAACCAGGTCGTGGATCGTGGTTCCTGGAGGCTCGCCGGCAAGGCGAGCGTCTCTGACCTGGTGGTTCAAGGGCTCTTCGTCACCGAGGTCAAGTACCGCACACCTGCGAAAGCAATCTTTCATAGGTCGTGAGTTCATCTCGCCGACCACTCCGTCGGGTCACGGCTTAGGTCCGCTACGCGGTTTGGAGGTGGTGGAGGGATTGCATGATTTGGAGGCAACCCCATCAGCTGCTTCGGGTGGGGGTCCTCGATGCCGTTGGTGATGTCGTAAGCCGAGCCGGCCTCCAGCTGGTACAAGTACTGGATCGTGGCAACTCGATGAGGACCCCGAGCTGCAGATCGATCCCGAGCCTGCCGCCGGTGGGCATCCACATGGTGATGTATCTCCTCCTCGTAGTCGTCCCTCGAGGAGTAGCCCAGCTCCAACAACCAATTCTAGCACCAGCGGCGCGACAAACTGCGGGCCAACCGCGCCTCGTCACATATATCACGTGCGAAATCCAGCTGGGCACACCACAGAGAAAATGAGAGAGAGGGACAGATAGAAAAGGGGGAGAGAGGGATAGAGAGAGCGATAGAGACGTAGAGAGAGGGAGGGAGAGAAAGAGAGAGAACTGGAACATACATTGGCCCAGGAGTCGACGATGTCTCCCCCGAGTGGCAGGGGGCAGGCCACGGCCGCGCGCCCAGAAAGCTTTTGACGGATGCGAAGGCCAGCGTTCTCAAGGCTGGGCTCCTGGAGGCCCTGTCCGTGCCCGAAGACCAGCAAATAGCGGCCCCACGGCGCGAAAATTATGCGGAAGTTGAGGTCGAGAGGTCAAGTGCCCCGCGAATTGGCATCACCGCGACTTGCGTTGTTCGGGCGGCGCTACGTCTCCTAAAATCCTGAGTCGCCTACGTAACCGTGCAAGTTTCGTACACGGGCTGGAGCAAGTGGGATCCGACGATCTCGCCGCTCTGCCGACGCATCGATCATGCGTTCGCGATCCCGGGATGGGGGAAAATCAGGTTCCAGAGAGGAGGCGGGCGAGGTAAGGTGAGGGGTTGGGGGTTGGGGGTGGGGTAGGGGATGGGAGCTGGGCGGGGCGGGCAAGGAAGGCAGGGGAGGGGAGGGTGGGCGATTGGGACTTCCCTCCCCCTGCCCACCTCCTCCTCCTCCTCCTCCTCCCCTTCCTCCTCCCCAGACAATGCCTTCGCAAACACATGTACAGTTGTTTGTTCAGTTTCGGCTTCATGAGGCCCTTCTCGGGACCCGGGGCCGTTAAGAAATGGATGGGGATGAACAGTTGTTCCCCAGGATAAAGCCGAGAGAGCTGGGGGTGCGCGCATTGAGAAATCAGCATGTCAGAGTTTGCAGTCCTCCTTTGCAGACGGAACATCCCCAGCGTGTTTTCTCCCGGCCCCAGGGATGGCAAGCGCACGGGGGAAGCTTAAATTCAGAGGGTAAAATGTTGAATCCTCGTCTTCGCCACCAAGTCATACCACGTCACTCCAAGCACGAACTTCTCAAGTGGCAGCCAGCTCGGTATGTGCTTGTAGCCTGGGTGCCCCAAAGTGGGTGTATGTTTTCCTTTGCAGCCGTGTTGGCTCAAGACACGGTTGTACAGTCAGGGTATACACATATACATATATAATCATCGATGTTACACATATATACATACATATATATATGTACACATGTATATTTACACAACTCGATATGTGCATATGTTTATGTTTGTGTATATGCATGTATATGTATGTATGTATAAAGTGCACATATATGGATACATATGTATATGTACAATATACTGGGCGTCAGGGACCCTGGGCCCTGGGCCCACCACTTTTTCAAAACTCCCCGCCCCAAGAGGCGAAAATCGTGAAGCCTCCAACTTCGCACCCAGAGGGCCCAAGAGGCCCCTAAGACGGCCCCCAAGACGGCCCAAGATGGCCCCCAAACGGCCCAAGAGGCGCCCAAGACGGCCCAAGAGGGCTTCAAGACGGCCCCAAGAGGGGCCCAAGAGGGGGAACACGAATCGACAATTCCAGCTTTCCGCCCCAAGAGGCCCCCAGGAGGCTTCAAGAGACCCAAAAGAGGCACCCAGGAGGCCCAAAAGAGGCCTAAGAGGCTCCAAAACGCCCCCCGGGGACTTCAAAACTGCTTCCAAAAGGCCCCCGAGAGGCTTTGCACGATATCCCAACGAACTTCCAAGAGGCCTAACCCACAACCCAGGAACGGTGGCGACATTGGCCGAAGGAAACAAGAGGCAACAAATATTTATTCCCAATCGATTTTTTCAACAATTTTCGTATTCTTGCTCGTTCACGATTCTAATTCTCTACGACAGCCCAAGAGTCCCCCAAAACCTCTCACGACGGCCCAAGAGGTCCCCGACAGGGCCTCAATACGGCCCAGAACGCCCTTAATACAGCCCATGAGCATTCCAGGAGAGCCCCAAGGGGGGGGCACAAGAGGCGGAACCCGAACTCACAGAGGGAGCCCGCCCCCCGAAGACGGACCCCGCGACCGCTAGCAGGGCCCCGACAGGTTTCCAAGAGGCCCCAGGAGCGCCCGAGGGCCCTCCCCCCCTCCCCCCAGAAGCACCAAGAGGCCCCCATAGAGGCTCCAAACATGAGCCTCCCTGGGTGCTTGCGAAAACCGCCGGGGAATTTGCCGGTCTCTTTCGCAGTCTGACGACGCTTCTTCTCGCCCTCGCATGTGGTGTTTTCTGCTCCATTTTCCAGGCCAGTCGTCCATGCTGCGCTGCGCAATGCTGCACCTGACGATCGCGGACGTCCTCGCCAGAGTTCCCTGGATCGGGCACATTTTCCACGTTGCCCAAAGTTTCCTGCGCAATCCTTATGCCCATGAGGCACTGCATGTGACACGCCGGTGAAAACAGGAGCCTGCCCACTTCTCTTGTCAACAATCGAGTCACCAGGGAGACGTCGGGGGATGGGCGCCGTTGATTTTCGCAACGGCATCGAGCCTCCGAGGACCTCCCAAGGCCTCCAGGGACCCCAGGAACCTCTAGGAAGCCCCCAAGAAACTCCCAGAGCTCCCAGAGCTTCGAGGGGCCGTCCAACACCTCCAGGAAGCCCTGGCATCCCTCCCCCTCCTCCTGCTCGCTCCGCCTTCCTCTTCTCGCCCCCTCTCCTTCTTGCCTGTCTCCTCTGGAAGCCTCCGATAACTCCTAGAGGCTTCTGGAACACAGGGGACGCCTCCGACTTGATCGGAAGTTCTCGGTCTGAAAGACCCCGGATAATGACGGCTGACGAGGACTCAATACGAGCAGGTTCAGCATCAGAGGGAGAAGGAGCAGGAGAAGGAGGAGTGTGAGGCGGAAGAAAATTATGAGGAACGGGAGGGGGGGGGATGGGATGGAGGGGAGCAGGAGGAGGAGGAGGAGAAGCAACAGGAGGGCAGGAGCGTGAGGAGGAGCAGGATCACCCGGGGAAGAGCTGGAGGGGGCGACAAGGGCTTCGCGAGAGGGCACGATCTGTCGAGTCTCTGGAGGTCTCCAGATGTCTTGAGAGGCCCCCAAATGACGTGCCCAATTTGTTCAAAAACATCCCTCCTCGATCCCAGGGGGTCGAGGCCAAGACTAGACGCCCTTCCTTCGATCCTCCCTCGATTCTCGATCCTCGACCCTTGGCCAGGACGAAAAACGACGACGACGACGCCACTGACGGCCGTGATGCCGCCGCCGCCGATAACGACGACGACGACGACGACGACGACGGTGGCGGCGACGACGACGACGACCACAACCACGACCACGACCACGACCACGACCTCGACCACGACGGCGACGACGACGACGACGGCGTCGGCGACCACGACGGCGACGACGACGACGACGACGACGACGAGGACGGCGACGACGGCGACGACGACGACGACGAGGACGCTCTTCGAGCTCGTGGAGTACGTCGAGCGCGCCTGCCTGGACGACGTCAGCGCCGAGGCCATCCTCGACGGCGGCCACGCCCGCGCCCCGCGGGCTGCCCCTCCCGCCTCCGCCCGCCCTCGGCGGCCCCTGCGAGAGCGAGAGAGTAGGAGAGCGTGAGAGAGAGAGAGAGAGCGGGGAGGGGCGAAGAGGAGGAGGAGGAGGGGGCGCGATGATCGGGGGGACGACGGGGGACGAGGGGGATAACGAGGAGTGGGAGGGCAGGGGGGAAGCAGCGAAGAGCTCTAGAGACGAGGAGGGGGGTGAGGAGGAGGGGGAGGAGGTGGGGGAGGAGGGGGAGCAGAAGGAGCAGAGGAGGAGGAGGAGGAGGAGGAGGAGAAGGAGGAGGAGGAGGAGGAGGAGGAGGAGGAGGAGGAGGAGGAGAGGGAGTAGAGGAATGCGCGGGAGGGGAATTAAGGGGATCAGGAGATGGAGATTTGTTGGTGTTTTCGAAGGCTTCCCGATATCTCTGGAGATTCCCAGGGTGAGGGCATCAGCGTCCGCGCTCAGTGTCTTTTGTCTTCTTATTATTCTTCTTATTCTGTTTTGTCTCTCTCTCTCTCTCTCTCTCTCTATCTTTGATTATTTGTTTTCATCCCTCTCTCTATATTTATCTCTCTGCCTCGATCTATGCCTCTCTCTCTCTCTCTCCCGCTCTCTCTCGCTCTCTCGCTCTCTCGCTCTCTCTGTTTCCTTCTCTCCCACTCTCTCGCGCTATCTCTCTCTCTCTCTCTATCGTGATCTCTCCCTCTCTCTTTCTCTCTCTCTTTGTATGTTCAAGCCCCTGTCTCAGTATATCCGCCTTTCCTCTCGTTCCCTATGTTGTTTCAAGACGCCTGCAGCGAATCACCCCCGCTCTCTGCCTTTCTGGAAATGCCGATGTGACCAAACGTTGAGGGTCAAAACTGGGCCGCGCTATTGAAGTGTGTGTTTCCCCAGCCCTAGTGGGAATGCTCGGTGGAACCATTGGGAAGGAAGAGGGAGGAGGCGGAGAGGGAGGAGAAAGAGTAATCGAAGGAGGAGACCGTGGCCTCTTGGGGCCCTCTTGGGCCTGAAGGTCTCCTGGGACTCTCCCTGGGACTCCTGGGGACAATTTCGGGGCGCCTGAAGGCCCTTCGGGGCTGCCCTAAGGCGCTCTTGGCTAGCCAGACGCCTTCGGAAGCCGTCTTGGGGACATCTCTCGGCCGTCTTGGGGCCCTCTGGGAGCACTTAAGAGCAGTCTTGGAGGGCTCTTGGGCCATCGGGCCGTTCTGGGAGGCTTTGGGGCAGTCTTGAGGCCCTCTTGGCCTGTCTCGGGGCCATTTTGCAGGCCTATTGGGCTTTCTCGGGCCGTCGGAAGCTTCAAGCAATCTTGGCCATATTGGAGGCGAGGCGTAATGTTCTTTGTGTGTCCGATCGGCTGGCGGATTTGGCCGAGACCCCACTGGGAATTTTCTGGAAGCGTTTTTAAAGGGTTATTATTGGGGCGCTTCGGGGCCGTCTTGGAGGCCATCTTGGGCGTCTTGGAGGCCATCTTGGGCGTGTTGGAGGCCTCTTGAGCCGTCTTGGGGCCGTCTTGGAGGCCACTTGGGCCGTCATGGGGCCCTCTTGGGGGCCTCTTGGGCGATCTTGGGAGCCTCTTGGGCCGTCTTGGGCCGTCGGAAAGCCGAAGAGGAGCACATACCAAAATACTTCAAAAACCTACGGAAATCCAATGATTTGGGCCTCGCCGGGCCTTCCTGGAGGACCTCTTGGAGACCTCTTGGGCCGTCTTGGAGGCCTCTTGCTGGCCTTTTGGACCGTCTTAGACCATCTTGAGGTCATCTAGGGCCGTGTTGGGTGCATCTTGGAGCCATCTTAGCCGTCTTTGAGGCCATCTTGGCCGTCTTGGAGCAACTTGGAGGCCATCCTGGGACATTTTGGCCGTCTTGGAGGCCATCTTGGGCCATCTTGGGGCAAGAAAGGCGACGACAGGTGCGTTTTTTCCGGGTGGCCGGCGGGACGGGCCGAAGCCCCAGGGGGAGTTCTTTTGGAAAAAGAACCAACATCAAAAGCCATATCGTCGGGCACGCCGGGCACCCCTTTGATATATCAAAAGGGGGCGACGGATCGAAGACGCCTACGGCGAATCACCGCCGCCCCCTGCCTTTTTGGAAGCGCCTATGTGGCCGAACGTTGAGGCCAGACCTGCCAAGCTATCGGACCACGTGTTCCCCGAATCGGTTTGGAAAGCCTTCGGGGAACACGTGGGCATCTTGAAGGTCATCTTGGCCGTCTTGGAGGCCTCTTGGGCAAGCTTTGGGCGATCTTTGGGGCTTTTTGGGCCGTCTCGGGCCAGCTTCGAGCCAACTTCGGCCATCTTGGTGGGTTCCTGGCACGTCTGAAGCCGTCGGAAGCCGTTTGGGGGGCCTCTATGGGCCGACTTGGGGCCCGCTTGGAATGCTCCAGGGCCGTCTTGGAGGCCATCTTGGGCGTCTGGGAGGCCATCTTGGGCGTGTTGGAGGCCTCTTGGGCCCTCTTGGGGCCCTCTAGGGGCCATCTTGGAGGCCACTTGGGCCATCATGGGGCTCTCTTGGGGGCCTCTTGGGCGATCTTGGGGGCTTCTTGGGCCGTCTTGAGCCGTCGGAGAGCCGAAAAGGCGCAAATGCCAAAATCCTTCAAAAACCAAGGGAAAATCAATGATTTTGGCCTCTTCGGACTCTCCTGGAGGACCTCTTGGAGGCCTCTTGGGCCGTCTGGGAGGCCTCTGGGGGGCCTCTTGGGCCGTCTTGGGCCGTCTTGGACTCTCTTGGGCCGTTTTGGAGGCCGTCTTGGACCATCTCGGGCGGACTTGGAGGCCATCTTGGGCCATCTTCGCGATTTTTTGAGGATGTCCCGAGCGAAACGGCCGTTTTTGGGCATTGACAGATGGGTTTTATGAGATTTACGGGTGGCCGGCGGGACGGGCCGAAGCCCACTGGGGAGTTCTTTTAGAAAAAGAACCAAAACCAAAACCTGAAGGGCACCCCTTTGATATATCAAAAGGGGGCGGCGGATCTAATGCCCTTCGGCCCATCCCACCACCGTGGCTGGGTTGTGGGTCTTTGGCCTCTTGGATGTTCGTCCGGATCTCGTCGAGGCCTCTCGGGGGCCCTCGTAGAGGCAGTTTTGAAGCCTCCAGGGGGCCGTTTTGGGCGTCTTCTGGCGTCTTGGGAGCCTCCCGGGAGCCTCTTCGGGGCCTGTTGGGCCAGCCCTTTGGAGGCTTCTTGAGGCCTCCTGGGAGCTTCTCGGGGCGGAAGACTCGGCTTTTCGGCTCGTCTTCTTGGGGCCCTTCTTGGGGCTGCCTTGGGGCTGTCTTTGGGCCCTCTTGGGCCGTCTTGGGCGCCTCTTGGGCCGTCTTGGGTCCCTCTGGGGCCTTGTGCCTGTCTTGGGGGCCTTGTGCCGTCTTGGGGCGATCTTGGAGACCTCTTGGGTCATTTTGGAGCGTCGGGAAGACGAACAGGCCACACCGCTAAAAAAGTACAACAACTCAAGAGAAATCTATGAGTTTGGCCTCTTGGGGCGTTTTTGGCAAGGCGCTTGGGGCTCTCTTGGGGCTTCTCGCCGGCTTCTTGTGCCTTCTTGGGGCCATCTTGGGCGTCTTGGACAGGTTGTTCGGCGAGTCGTAGCCCTCGTGGACCGTATTGGTGGCTTCTTGGGGCATTCTTGGCCCGTCTTGGGGCATGCTGTGGGCCCGAACAAGTCATGCGGCAAGACGTGACGCGCCCCAGAGGGGCCCCAGTAGATTTGAGAATTTGCGGTCCCCCTAGAAGTTCGTCAGGATTGAAGACTGAGACTCAGGGGGTCAGCAAGGGACCTGGGGACTCAACTTCGTGCCACAGGGCACGGTTACGAAATATCAATGTGTCACATTATATATACACATATGTATAGGTATGTATGTATATATGTATACACGTACAAACACACATACACAAACTGTATATGTATATGTATATGTACATGTACATGTATATGTATATGTATATGTATATATATGTATATGTATATGTATATGTATGTGTATGTGTATATGTATATGTATATGTATATGTATATGTTTATGTATATGTATATGTATATGTATATGTATATGTATATGTATATGTATATGTATATGTATATGTATATGTGTATGTGTATGTGTATGTGTATGTGTATGTATATGTATATGTATATGTATATGTACATGTACATGTACATGTACATGTACATGTACATGTATATGTATACGTGTATGTATATGTGTATGTACATGCATGTGTATGTGTATACGTATGTGTGTAAATATATAATATATATGAATGGTCTCCGGCCAGTGCCGCCGATCCCAGGCGCTCCGGATGCTGGTGGTTGGCACGACGACGACGGCGACGACGACGACGACGATGACCTCGACGCCGACAACGGACGACTTACGACTGACGGGATGCGGGAGGCGGCGGGAGGGAGGAGGGAGGAGTGAGGAGGGAGGAGGGAGGAGGTAGGACGGCGAGGATGGGGAGGAGGCGGAGGAGGAGGAGGAGGAGGAGGGCGAGCAGCAGAAGGAGGAGAAGGAGGAGCAGCAGGAAGAGCAGGATGAGCAGGAGCATGAAGGATGATGATGATGAGAGCGAAATGAGGACGAGGATAAGGACGAGGATTAGGACGACGATGATGATGATGTTGTTGATGTTGATGCTGATGCTGATGCTGATGTTGATGCTGCTGATGATGATCATGCTGATGATGATGGTGATGATGGTGACAATGATAATCATGATGAAGGTGGTGGTGCTGGTGTGAGGAGGAGGAGGAGCAAGGATTTAGCATACAGATGATGATGATGATGATGATGATGATGATGATGATGATGATGATGATGATGATGATGATGATGATGATGATGATGATGCTGACGATTTTGATCTTGATGATGATGAGGAGGAGGAGGAGAAGGATGGGCCGGGACCAGAGCCAGAGCCGGGGCCTGCAGGGCCCAGGGCCGCGCCGTGGTGAGCCGGGGCCAGGACCAGGGCGGGGGCCGAGACTGGAGCTTGCTT